CTTCTCATTGTACTTGTATGTACTTAATGAGAATATTTCTGAACTTCCGTTTGAACAAATTTTCTTGTGTGAAAGGAAGGTATACTCTTAGATTGACATGAAAAAAGATATACTATGTTATAAATGTATTATGGCAATAGCAGATATAATGTTCGTTATAATAAATTACCACAGCTCATTTTGAAATGTAGCTACACACATTTATACCTTGGTCATATTAATTAGTGCAATTGAATTTGTTTATATTTACGACAACTAACATTGTTGAGAAGATATTTTGCTTGACTTGAAAATAGACTTGCCGTGTTTTGTCCAACACTGTGAATGAAGTAGCTACAGTTATTGGCCATTATTGACGAAAAATGGCGCCGGTAAATTTTGTTGTTTCTGTACGTGTTGCACGTGAATGCTGGTGTAAATACATTGACGAGGTCGAACAAGGTATATATGCATTGTTTATCATAACTTTATCGCTCTTCTCCCACTGTTAGGTGAAAGAGATGCAACTGTAGGATTATGTATATAATGTATGGTATAGATACAAGAAAGTACTGTGCCTATTACCTTTTAAAAAACGTTCTGTTTCAGTTTTTACCAGCAAATTGACAAGCAAGATATAATGGATACTGGTTAGATTTATAAGTACACAGAAAATTCACTTACTTTTAGCTTGGGCCATTTTTCTTCAGACATTAACATTTCATTTGCCACGTTGTACTGGTATGATCTTATCTATCGTTTCTGTTCTTGTATCGGTGATAGCTGCTCTATACATATTCCGCAGCAGCATCTACGCCAACGCACGAGCAAATTTTCGGAAGAAAATACCAAGCATACATAGCTACATCATCGTCATTAAACGTTTGCCGATGCCCTATCTTGTTTCTTTTGCAGCTCATATATGTCGATAATTACAATAATATTCAATGCATTATTGTTTCTACCACAAAGGAAGTCGAATTTTACGGGTAAGTCACGTCCCACTCTTATCTTCATTCGTATTCCTGCCTATTTGTGCTAAAAAAAGATGAAAAGGACTTTGTTTTTTTCAGAATCCGGTCGACTTGTACAATTTGTACTGTAGGGCATTTATCTTCGAATGCTCTCAGTCTGTGCAAGTAGAAATAGCCAGCTTGATTCGAAGACATCCAAAGACATTCTATACAATACAGGAAAACTTTGCAGATGTATACGATGCACTGTTCGGATAAGACATCCGTTTCTGTTTGAATTGCCGTATTTTAATGTCATTAGATGCTAAAAATGAATGGAATATTTTCAGTGCGAAATTGCACGCACATCTAAAGTCAGCGGATGGAGACAAGTCAAACGTGTAAAGATCTAGAGTATTTGGTGTAATTAGTATCGACTTCCTGTCTTAAAACAAACTCTCTACAATCAGGGGTAGATTTTGAGAGTTTTTGGATTTCGTATGAAGAAGTTGTTCTTAAGACACATGCAGAAGCATCGCTCCAGTTGACATGATGTTCTCATTGAATGTCATCATTTGAAATTCACGTAAGGGTGGCGACAAGCTTGTTTAGAGCTTCAACGGTACTTTCAAAACACACTTTTGTGTAGAATTGTATCTTCAGGCAGTTAATACCATATAAATGTACAGCTGCAAGAGTAAATAAAAAACCTGAAATACTGATCTCTGTATCTTAAGTAGCTATGTAGCACGCTCTATGAAAAAAGATTTTAAGGAAATTTAGCACTCCATAGCTATAGACTTCCTATATCTTAAACCATCGATTTAAAACAAATCCATTGTCGGGCGTTAGCATTCGTAGCTCAAAATTCGAAATTCGTCGACCATATATTTCAGTTCTAGAACTATGTATGCGTTAGCTTTTATAAAAACGTGTATTTCAATGATTAAGAACATTAAGTAGTTGGAAGGTCCAAATGGTACTATGTATGCATGCTATGCATTCATCATAATTCGAATTTAAGTTCGTTCTCATTCTTTTGATCAGTTGTACAGAGATAGCTTAACTAGATTTATGCATACATGCATCCGAGAAAGTTTATCTCGTTTAGCATGATGTCGTGAAAGGGAAAATCCCTTTGCTTTGATTTGCAGCACAAAAAGCCTTTGCATGATATATACAGAAAACAAAATGTCTTTGTGTGTAAAATATGTTATCATCAAACACAGCGTGTATCAATAATATAATAATTTGAAGTAAAGTCGAAAGAATGCCTTGGTAAAATTTGGACCAAGAAATAATATTAATTAATTTCGGTTCTCAATCGAAACAAAAAATTAAGCCCCTTGTAGCGCTACCTTCCTGCGCTACTGACGTACGTGTCTTTGTCTTGTTCACTATGTGGGCGAGTTTTCAACATCCCAAAGATTTGCAACTTCAAGATCCAAATCTACGAATTCCTTCAATTTCATTTATAAAGTTTGGAAAACGAGCGCGTTCCTTCTCTTCCAGCGCGTGCATCTTCGAACAATCCAGCCAGCGGATGAAGATAGTTATCACACTTGTAACATTTTACAGTCGCTTTTTGTATTCAGTACCCACTTCCTGATATTTCAGATATTTTAAACTCTCCAAAGACGAAGCATATTTCAGGAATATATTGAAGTGCCTATACTAGTGTCAGGAAAATAACTTCTTTAGATGATTTTAAGAAAATTTGCAACATATTTAATAGGTCGAAAATTTCATCTTAATGGACTTTTTTGGCCTAGAAGTAGGAGACTCTGTACCGGATGTGACGTAATTAGGAGAACAAATTCGCTGCGTAAAATATCAACAGCGTATAATATTGTGAAACTGCGTATAATATTATCACCCCGTTCATTTTTTCGAAGCCAAGTGTAATTTCATCAACATTTCCACGCAAAATCGTAGTAGGTAATTGCTCCCGATTATTGTTTTGTTTTTGAAGTGGTGCATGTATTGTGTGATTGCCGCTGATAAACGACTTAAAGAGGAGCTGAATGTGAGAAGTGGGAAACGGGCGACTTCCACTTTGGATCAAATGCAGATGAAAATTACAAGACAATGGCAGACAGTTTTAAAAGGGTTTCGCTGTGTCTGATTATGCTCGGAATGATAATTGGAATTATTGGTGAATTACAAACATGCTTTGTATCAACTAGTATAAGTTGTAATAGAAAACAACTACTTTGTATCACAAAATTCTCACAGTATCACATTAACAATGAATTACGTTTTGATTAATCGTAGCTCATTTTTATCATTCATTCGACCGACTCCAACTTGCAAAGACCGAACAGCAAGGAGTATGTTTGTGTTAATGGCGCCATGGTTACAACACCCCCTCGTACATTAGCGTGGTAACAACAATGATTTAGATCCCAATCTTCTAGATGTCTTACTACCGTGTCAAGGTGAGCAAGGATGTCATCTTGAAAGATGGCAAAATCAAAATGAAAAGGCAATTAAAACAAAGTTTAAAAAACTCATCCTATCAAATATTTCAAGAATTAAACCTAGACTATCAACTTTGTGACTGTCTATCAAGTATCAACTCAGCAAAAGAAGATATTAGTCGTAATATCGTCAGTTTTACCACATTTCAAGATGGCGGCTTGCCTCACTCATTACTATCAGAGCCCTCTATAACGGAGTCAGATGGTTAGCACTATTTTCCACCCAGCAAACCGCCCTTTACTTTGAAATATAATATTTTACACAATATAATATTTTACACAATGTAATATTTTACACAATATAATATTTTATATAATATTTTACACAATCGTCGAAAAACGACATATTTTCCAGCCTGGATTATAAGTTTATAACTTAAGGTGGTTGCATGAAAATTTATACTGCAACATTTATCTGTAAATATTTTCATATGTTGATATTAAAAACTGTATTATAAAAATATAAAATTACTCGCCATCTCAAAACGACCTAGCACCAGTGCATGCATGGTTTCCTTTTAGCTTTTGGTTCTTTCCCATTAGCCGCCATCTTTAATTTATTTCCGATTGTGTAAAGTAAAGGGCGGTTTGCTGGGTGGAAAATAGTGCTAACCGAGTCAGATATCTAGTAGATTGGGTTCAAGGTCATTGGGTAACAATGATTCAAAGAATCATCGATTTCGGTCTGTAGTCTTTACAAGAACGAATCACGTACACAGATAGTCATCGTTGTAATCTTAAATTAAAATTTATGGTCTATTCGATGACCTAGAATCCAATCTAGATAGCTGATTCCGCTGAAATTCCATAGTTACGAGTGAGGCAAGCCGCCATCTTGAAAGGTGGCAAAACTGACGATATTTAAGGCTAATATCTGCTTTTCCTGAGCTAATAGACAGTTGCAAAGTTGATAGTCTAGGTTTGATTTTCAAAATGTTTGATAGGATTGAGTTTTAAACCTTCTTTCAGCTGATTTTTCATTTTGTGTTTTGCTTTTTTGCCACCCTTTCAAGATGACATCCTTGTCTCACCTTGACACGGTAGTTAGACATCTAGAGGATTGAGAGCTAAATCATTTGTCTTTGAATTCAGCGCTGATGATGAACGCAGATTTTAGCAAGTACATGACAAAGGTTATTTAAAGTACATTCATTGTTACAGTCAAACTATTAAAAAACACTTCTCCATTCAATTCATATGCAGCAAATATATATTATACACGAAAATTTCTTGTTATACTTATATGCTGGACAATGAAGAGAATTTGTATTTGAATGTCAATTTTTTCAATTGCTTTTTATATTCGCATTATGAACTTAAAGAATGTGTGTCGACCAAGATGCATTTCGCGTTAATCACAGCGTGTCGGCCATTTTGAGTGTCGAGAAAATGGCGGATTTTGTTATTGCAGCCTATGCAAGTTAGTCAAACGATAATAATTGATGTAAAATAAGGTTTTAGTCAATTTGCTAACTTTCAAATAAAGTTGGCGACGTTGGTGACGAAATTGAATTCAGTGTTCCGCAAGCTCAAAAGTAACGATGTAAACATGAACAAAAGTGCTCAACGTATCTTGGTTCACACATTCTTTAAGCTTGAACTAGTTTTTTATTAAACCACCGAGTGAATGTCCCTAAATGATCTCGTACTTTAATTTGTTAAAGTCATGTGTCAGTAATGATTTTCGTAGCTTTTTATGCCACTTCAAGTACCAACAAATAATTCCTACTGTCGTACATATGTATGACGTGTGCGTCGACAATAAAAACCGTAGCCTTGGTATCGCAACGAGATTTACGTATTGCTGTTATAAATTCCTCAATTCGATAAAATGAATAAATCCAAATCCATAATATTTCAGTGTTGCCATAAATGAAAATGTTTTTCACCAGATCAAAGTGGAAGCTCATTCGACCGAGTCCGGTTAAAAAATATATGATACGTGATCACACAGGTGCTAACCATATTTAAAATAAAATGCGTTCTTGTGTCGTAGGACCAGTGATCAAGTTTTTGTCTCGCAAAATCTCCTTGGGCAGTTCTCATTTTTAAGACGAATCAGTTAACGCTTGGAAATTTTCGGTAACGTATTTTCGGGAATCAGCTGAGTCTAATAAAGAGTTCACTGTAATGTCGTCGATGTCTGTTGGAGGTATGAGGTTTTGTCTGTTATGATTGGTCATGACGGATTTTGAGTAGTCAACTGAGTCCAATAAAGAATTCACTGTAATGTCGTCATCATCATTCATCAGGGATATTGAATAAGAATCATTTCTTTGATCGTCCATACTAGAGGAACTACTTTCACTAGAAAACGACGAGGAGCTTTGTACTCGAGGGCGAAAGCACTTCCATGAACGGGATTGGTCTTCCGATGATTGACGTTTCTTTACGTCAACCTCCGAACTTTTCAGATGGTCAAAAAGATCGTTTGTATTCGTTGAAATCATGTCTTTATCGGTGTTCTCGTTTGGTAATTCAGCTTTTTGTCCACACCCGTCCATCTCGTATGGTATAGAAAGAAACTTATAGACGCGATGGTAGCCCTTTATCTGTAAAACGAGTAAAGCATTTGTAATAGTTTCACGTTTCGTAATGATAGGTGTTTGAAGCTTCACTTGGCAAGAAAAACAGTTCGACGTACATGTGCGTCAATCTTACGAGAAAACATTCATAACAATCAATCAGAAAAATCTTTGAACATGCTGATCATGTTAGTCGACTGGCTGGTCAACTTTTAAAGAGTTGTCAGGACAAGAACCTCAACAAAGAATATGTTTGATGTGTGTTGAAATCTCTAATGGCAATTATTTGAAGTGTTCGTCATTTTGGTTATTTTGGCGTGTAAAGATCATTGAGTGTTTTTAGTAATTTAGACATGTATTTTGCATAAACACCATTCATAAGCAAACTGATGGCTTCATACAATTTGACTTGATACTCTTTGGTGATGGCATTCTTGGAATTGATAAATTCAAGAAAGTGTCAAATGCGCAATTAGACCAGCATGTATAAAGCGTACTAAAATTATTGTTGTGCGAAAGGTAAGAATTCTTGGGAATTCACTTCAATATGACTTAACTTTGTATCAACCTTCGTCATACACACCATGGCAACAATGAAAATTTACACACTTATAAACTCACACGCTTAAATAAACACTTGAAGAAGTACACACTTGAATTTGGAGCTCGTTCATTGTTAGACATACCTTTTTGAGCAATCCTCTATCATAATAGGTTCTCATGTCTCGAAATAACTTGAATTGGTCCATTTTTGGTCGATTCTTTACAGTTCCCCACAGCTTGGCAAGTTCTTCCGCATCGTTGATTGAGTATAATCTTTCTTCCTTATTCGTCCATTCTATCACATGTTTACACTCCTCATCTTCTAACAGTCCGTACAAAAACTCCCACAAATACAGCGATTTTCTGCTGCTGTTACGTTTACTTTCTATATGCACAATAATAAAACAATTATTTACTCGTTCTTATTGAAAAATCTACTCTAGATGTTTATGAAGTAATTCAATGTTGGATTAGAGGCGACAGATACCCTTCGTGAGTCAAAACTAAAGCTAGATTAGGTTCCATTGGTTTAAGCTATACCTAATGAATTAATGAGAGATGTCCAAAATCAAGTTGACTCTGTGATTAAAAGAAAAAGTTAAGTCCTTACAAACTGGGAGTCTTAAATTTCATATGGTCGTTTTATGTAGTTTTATTTGTTTAATGTTTATGTTTGCATTTGTAAATTTATCATGACTGGTAGATATTAGGTTCTTGTAAGATGACATAAAAGAATTTAATGCAGAAGTCAACATGTAAGAATGCTTGATAACAACAACAATAAATTTAATCATGATAAATGATCCATAGATGAATGGTATTCTGTGGAAAATCATATTTTTTCTTTTCATTTTTCTCCAACTATACACGAAAGGAATCAACACTTAACTTGTCATGCTTTAAGTAATCTTTGCGTTTGGCTTTTCAATTACAAATATAATCTTCAAAAGCTATTGCTATATGATGCATTTCAATTGCCACTGTAGGGCCTCGTAAACCTATAAAGATATTTTTTTATTTTTAATGTTGTCGAGCCTTCCATGCAATGCAAAGTTAACACAAGACAACCTTAATGGGGTCCTTTGATTTCAAAACGAACGTAAGTTTCTCAGTCAAGGAGGAGTTGAACTCTCTTAAATAAGCAAAATGAAATATATTCCTGACATAAATCTTGCTTCTCATTGTACTTGTATGTACTTAATGAGAATATTTCTGAACTTCCGTTTGAACAAATTTTCTTGTGTGAAAGGAAGGTATACTCTTAGATTGACATGAAAAAGATATACTATGTTATAAATGTATTATAGCAATAGCAGATATAATGTTCGTTATAATAAATTACCACAGCTCATTTTGAAATGTAGCTACACATTTATACCTTGGTCTTATTAATTAGTGCAATTGAATTTGTTTATATTTACGACAACTAACATTGTTGAGAAGATATTTTGCTTGACTTGAAAATAGACTTGCCGTGTTTTGTCCAACACTGTGAATGAAGTAGCTACAGTTATTGGCCATTATTGACGAAAAATGGCGCCGGGTAAATTTTGTTGTTTCTGTACGTGTTGCACGTGAATGCTGGTGTAAATACATTGACGAGGTCGAACAAAGTAGATATGCATTGTTTTCATAACGTTATCGCTCTTCTCCCACTGTTTGGTGAAAGAGATGCAACTGTAGGATTATGTACATATTGTATGGTATAGATACAAGAAAGCACTGTGCCTTTTACCTTTTAAAAAACTTTCTCTTTCAGTTTTTACCAGCAAATTGACAAGCAAGATGTAATGGATACTGGTTAGATTTATAAGTACACAGAAAATTCACTTACTTTTAGCTTGGGCCATTTTTCTCCAGACATTAACATTTCATTTGCCACGTTGTACTGGTATGATCTTATCTATCGTTTCTGTTCTTGTATCGGTGATAGCTGCTCTATAGATATTCCGCAGCAGCATCTACGCCAACGCACGAGCAAATTTTCGGAAGTAAATACCAAGCATACATAGCTACATCATCGTCATTAAACGTTTGCCGATGCCCTATCTTGTTTCTTTTGCAGCTCATATATGTCGATAATTACAATAATATTCAATGCATTATTGTTTCTACCACAAAGGAAGTCGAATTTTACGGGTCAGTCGCACCCCACTTTTATCTTCATTCGTATTCCTGCCTATTTGTGCTAAAAAAAGATGAAAAGGACTTTGTTTTTTTCAGAATCCGGTCGACTTGTACAATTTGTACTGTAGGGCATTTATCTTCGAATGCTCTCAGTCTGTGCAAGTAGAAATAGGCAGCTTGATTCGAAGACATCCAAAGACATTCTATACAATACAGGAAAACTTTGCAGATGTATACGATGCACTGTTCGGATAAGACATCCGTTTCTGTTTGAATTGCCGTATTTTAATGTCATTAGATGCTAAAAATGAATGGAATATTTTCAGTGCGAAATTGCACGCACATCTAAAGTCAGCGGATGGAGACAAGTCAAACGTGTAAAGATCTAGAGTATTTGGTGTAATTAGTATCGACTTCCTGTCTTAAAACAAACTCTCTACAATCAGGGGTAGATTTTGAGAGTTTTTGGATTTCGTATGAAGAAGTTGTTCTTAAGACACATGCAGAAGCATCGCTCCAGTTGACATGATGTTCTCATTGAATGTCATCATTTGAAATTCACGTAAGGGTGGCGACAAGCTTGTTTAGAGCTTCAACGGTACTTTCAAAACACACTTTTGTGTAGAATTGTATCTTCAGGCAGTTAATACCATATAAATGTACAGCTGCAAGAATAAATAAAAAACCTGAAATAAGTTACTGATCTCTGTATCTTAAGTAGCTATGTAGCACGCTCTATGAAAAAAGATTTTAAGGAAATTTAACACTCCATAGCTATAGACTTCCTATATCTTAAACCATCGATTCAAAACAAATCCATTGTCGGGCGTTAGCATTCGTAGCTCAAAATTCGAAATTCGTCGACCATATATTTCAGTTCTAGAACTATGTATGTGTTAGCTTTTACAAAAACGTGTATTTCAATGATTAAGAACATTAAGTAGTTGGAAGGTCCAAATGGTACTATGTATGCATGCTATGCATTCATCATAATTCGAATTTAAGTTCGTTCTCATTCTTTTGATCAGTTGTACAGAGATAGCTTAACTAGATTTATGCATACATGCATCCGAGAAAGTTTATCTCGTTTAGCATGATGTCGTGAAAGGGAAAATCCCTTTCCTTTGATTTGCAGCACAAAAAGCCTTTGCATGATATATACAGAAAACAAAATGTCTTTGTGTGTAAAATATGTTATCATCAAACACAGCGTGTATCAATAATATAATAATTTGAAGTAAAGTCGAAAGAATGCCTTGGTAAAATTTGGACCAAGAAATAATATTAATTCATTTCGGTTCTCAAACGAAACAAAAAATTAAGCCCCTTGTAGCGCTACCTTCCTGCGCTACTGACGTACGTGTCTTTGTCTTGTTCACTATGTGGGCGAGTTTTCAACATCCCAAAGATTTGCAACTTCAAGATCCAAATCTACGAATTCCTTCAATTTCATTTATAAAGTTTGGAAAACGAGCGCGTTCCTTCTCTTCCAGCGCGTGCATCTTCGAACAATCCAGCCAGCGGATGAAGATAGTTATCACACTTGTAACATTTTACAGTCGCTTTTTGTATTCAGTACCCACTTCCTGATATTTCAGATATTTTAAACTCTCCAAAGACGAAGCATATTTCAGGAATATATTGAAGTGCCTATACTAGTGTCAGGAAAATAACTTCTTTAGATGATTTTAAGAAAATTTGCAACATATTTAATAGGTCGAAAATTTCATCTTAATGGACTTTTTTGGCCTAGAAGTAGGAGACTCTGTACCGGATGTGACGTAATTAGGAGAACAAATTCGCTGCGTAAAATATCAACAGCGTATAATATTGTGAAACTGCGTATAATATTATCACCCCGTTCATTTTTTCGAAGCCAAGTGTAATTTCATCAACATGTAGTAGGTAATTGCTCCCGATTATTGTTTTGTTTTTGAAGTGGTGCATGTATTGTGTGATTGCCGCTGATAAACGACTTAAAGAGGAGCTGAATGTGAGAAGTCGGAAACGGGCGACTTCCACTTTGGATCAAATGCAGATGAAAATCACAAGACAATGGCAGACAGTTTTAAAAGGGTTTCGCTGTGTCTGATTATGCTCGGAATGATAATTGGAATTATTGGTGAATTACAAACATGCTTTGTATCAACTAGTATAAGTTGTAATAGAAAACAACTACTTTGTATCACAAAATTCTCACAGTATCACATTAACAATGAATTACGTTTTGATTAATCGTAGCTCATTTTTATCATTCATTCGACCGACTCCAACTTGCAAAGACCGAACAGCAAGGAGTATGTTTGTGTTAATGGCGCCATGGTTACAACACCCCCTCGTACATTAGCGTGGTAACAACAATGATTTAGATCCCAATCTTCTAGATGTCTTACTACCGTGTCAAGGTGAGCAAGGATGTCATCTTGAAAGATGGCAAAATCAAAATGAAAAGGCAATTAAAACAAAGTTTAAAAAACTCATCCTATCAAATATTTCAAGAATTAAACCTAGACTATCAACTTTGTGACTGTCTATCTATCAACTCAGCAAAAGAAGATATTAGTCGTAATATCGTCAGTTTTACCACATTTCAAGATGGCGGCTTGCCTCACTCATTACTATCAGAGCCCTCTATAACGGAGTCAGATATCTAGTAGATTGGGTTCAAGGTCATTGGGTAACAATGATTCAAAGAATCATCGATTTCGGTCTGTGGTCTTTACAAGAACGAATCACGTGCACAGATAGTCATCGTTGTAATCTTAAATTAAAATTTATGGTCTATTCGATGACCTAGAATCCAATCTAGATAGCTGATTCCGCTGAAATTCCATAGTTACGAGTGAGGCAAGCCGCCATCTTGAAAGGTAAAAACTGACGATATTTAAGGCTAATATCTGCTTTTCCTGAGCTAATAGACAGTTGCAAAGTTGATAGTCTAGGTTTGATTTTCAAAATGTTTGATAGGATTGAGTTTTAAACCTTCTTTCAGCTGATTTTTCATTTTGTGTTTTGCTTTTTGCCACCCTTTCAAGATGACATCCTTGTCTCACCTTGACACGGTAGTTAGACATCTAGAGGATTGAGAGCTAAATCATTTGTCTTTGAATTCAGCGCTGATGATGAACGCAGATTTTAGCAAGTACATGACAAAGGTTATTTAAAGTACATTCATTGTTACAGTCAAACTATTAAAAAACACTTCTCCATTCAATTCATATGCAGCAAATATATATTATACACGAAAATTTCTTGTTATACTTATATGCTGGACAATGAAGAATTTGTATTTGAATGTCAATTTTCAATTGCTTTTATATTCGCATTATGAACTTAAAGAATGTGTGTCGACCAAGATGCATTTCGCGTTAATCACAGCGTGTCGGCCATTTTGAGTGTCGAGAAAATGGCGGATTTTGTTATTGCAGTCTATGCAAGTTAGACAAACGATAATAATTGATGTAAAATAAGGTTTTAGTCAATTTGCTAACTTTCAAATAAAGTTGGCGACGTTGGTGACGAAATTGAATTCAGTGTTCCGCAAGCTCAAAAAGTAACGATGTAAACATGAACAAAAGTGCTCAACGTATCTTGGTTCACACATTCTTTAAGCTTGAACTAGTTTTTTATTAAACCACCGAGTGAATATCCCTAAATGATCTCGTACTTTAATTTGTTAAAGTCATGTGTCAGTAATGATTTTCGTAGCTTTTTATGCCACTTCAAGTACCAACAAATAATTCCTACTGTCCTACATATGTGTGACGTGTGCGTCGACAATAAAAACCGTAGCCTTGGTATCGCAACGAGATTTACGTATTGCTGTTATAAATTCCGCAATTCGAAAAAATGAATAAATCTAAATCCATGATATTTCAGTGTTTCCATAAATGAAAATGTTTTTCACCAGATCAAAGTGGAAGCTCATTTGACCGAGTCCAGTTAAAAAATATATGATACGTGATCACACAGGTGCTAACCATATTTAAAATAAAATGCGTTCTTGTGTCGTAGGACCAGTGATCAAGTTTTTGTCTCGCAAAATCTCCTTGGGCAGTTCTCATTTTTAAGACGAATCAGTTAACGCTTGGAAATTTTCGGTAACGTATTTTCGGGAATCAGCTGAGTCTAATAAAGAGTTCACTGTAATGTCGTCGATGTCTGTTGGAGGTATGAGGTTTTGTCTGTTATGATTGGTCATGACGGATTTTGAGTAGTCAACTGAGTCCAATAAAGAATTCACTGTAATGTCGTCATCATCATTCATCAGGGATATTGAATAAGAATCATTTCTTTGATCGTCCATACTAGAGGAACTACTTTCACTAGAAAACGACGAGGAGCTTTGTACTCGAGGGCGAAAGCACTTCCATGAACGGGATTGGTCTTCCGATGATTGACGTTTCTTCACGTCAACCTCCGAACTTTTCAGATGGTCAAAAAGATCGTTTGTATTCGTTAAAATCATGTCTTTATCGGTGTTCTCGTTTGGTAATTCAGCTTTTTGTCCACACCCGTCCATCTCGTATGGTATGGAAAGAAACTTATAGACACGATGGTAGCCCTTTATCTATAAAACGAGTAAAGTATTTGTAATAGTTTCACGTTTCCTAATGATAGGTGTTTGAAGCTTCAGTTAGCAAGAAAAACAGTTCGATGTACATGTGCATCAATCTTACGAGAAAACATTCATAACAATCAATCAGAAAAAACTTTGAACATGCTGATCATGTTAGTCGACTGGCTGGTCAACTTTTAAAGAGTTGTCAGGACAAGAACCTCAACAAAGAATATGTTTGATGTGTGTTGAAATCTCTAATGGCAATTATTTGAAGTGTTCGTCATTTTGGTTATTTTTGGCGTGTAAAGATCATTGAGTGTTTTTTTAGTAATTTAGACATGTATTTTGCATAAACACCATTCATAAGCAAACTGATGGCTT